GTAACTGGATGCATATTTTCTTTAAATGCCATCTCACAGCTATTTGCTGTACACCTGAAGACTTTCCTTGCTGTGTACATTCAAATTCTCCAAAAGGTATCAGCTCTGTTCACACCACCATGAGTGCCATCATGTTTTACACTGGATTTTACACAAATTTCTTCTTCTATGTAACTTTGTTAGCCAAAAACCCCCTTATGTATAATAAAGTTTCTAGGTCTTAGTGATAGCAGAAAAATTTAATAAAAAATTTAAACTGTAAAAGTTGTAAAACAACTTCTGAATATCAGCCCAACAACACAGGTTTTAATGCGGGCACTATTTACAGAGAACTCTGAGGAGCACTGCTGTTGCATAAACTGCAATTATCTTCAAATTCACATGGGCTTATTTTCCTATTAAATGAAACTACCAGAAGACACTAGCTAAAGCAACGTATTTTGATTCAGCTTTTTCATACAAGTCATCTCAACTTGTGAAGCAGAGCTTTCCAACACCCTCCCTTTCTCTCTCCTTTTTCAGCCTTAACATTTAAGGATTTTTTGCAACTTGACTATGAATGTTTCCTTAGTAACTCCCATGCAGAAAGACTGATGTTTGTTTAGTCTGCCTAGAATGACTACCTACCATTCAATGTGGTCTTATGTTCCTATTTAAGAGTTTATAGCTGCTTCAACAAATAATTCCAAAAGCTTCTAATTGTAGGAAGGATACAAGCAGGGTTTACAGTTCTGCTCTGTATTCAAAATACAGATTAAAAAAAATGAATTTAGTAAGTCCAGCAACACAAACATCAGATTTTTAACAAAAAAATTTAAACAATAACTGTTGGAAATTAAGTCTTGCAGAAAAGCTAGTTTGAACTTGAAAAACCTCCCTGCTACTACTGACATAAACAGGCACTACAGTATCAGTCTTTCCTACATAATTTTCTTATATTCAGGTTTTCTTTTTAGTTCAGAAAACACCTGATCAAAGCAAAGAAAATATCTTCTACAGAATGCGCTACAGAAAAGTCACTTGCTAATCTACAGCTATCTTTCAAAAAACTTAAGTTAGAGCACTGATTATTCCCTTTACAATTTCCCATCATCTCAGATGTTTGCACAAGGTTTTACATACCTGCAAAACTTGTTCTTCTGAGGATGACACAAATAGATCCATTCATTTTGGATAACAGTATCAAGTTTTTGGCTGGCAATAGCCAGGAACATTCTGGCTAGAAGTCTCACAAACAACAGCAAGTCCTACCTAGGCAAATCCAGTATCTTCTCTCAGTATTTTTATAATAAATTCAAAACACACTTCAAGGGTAATAAAGTTCCTGGTATCTTGTGGTATCTCATACATATATACTTTTTCCCCCCTTTCAATAAAAACTAACAGGGAAGTTGCAGAATGAAAGGTAAAAATATCCCACCCTTAAAAAATAATAAGGGTGAAATAGATAAAAAAATATAACAGCAGTTACATTTTTTTTACCTTGTTTCAAAACCAGAATATCCTGAATATCCAGCAAGGCTTTAAAATGTGATGAACTGAAGCAAAAGGTTATCTTTATTTTACAGGGATGAGCAAAGTACAACCTGCTCAATCTGTTAGAAGAGCCAGGATTTATATGCTAGTATCTGATACGTCAATTTAAAAGGAGGAAGCCTTCAAGTGTTTCTGCTGCTTTGAATGACAACATTGAGCTGTGAAGTCTAATCTTTCAGGTACACACTGAGTAACTCTATACTGTGGTATCTGAGGCTGCAGTTAGTAAGTCACTTTATGAAAGAAGCATATTTATTGCTCAAGTACAGAGAGGTTGTAAGTTTGTTATGAAAATGGGTCAAATTAGCATTATTCTCACAGAATGGGTATAACACAATGAACAAAATGCACTGACCATTGACTTTGCTTTGTTGTGTTTGACATAAGGGCTGCTGTTCTCCACTAGTCTTGCAAATTACTTCTACAAAACTCTACAAGTTTATCTTCTGTCACTGAAAAAAGTGCTTATGGAAAGTAAGAAACCACATCTGAAAGACAGGTCAGCAATTTGTAAAAACACTTAGCAAGCCTACTTCCATTGCAGGTAAGAGATGCAACCTATGTCTTATTTTAAACATCCCCTCACTTTAACTAAATAAACCTTAAGGAGAAACTAAGGAGAAATCACTATTTCAGCGATCACTTAATTCTCCCCAGTCACCTTTGGGTTGATAATCCAAACTACTGATCTTACTGAAATTTAGTTTTGGTTTTTACAAAACACAACCCCAGTGCTGGTATTCAGTAAAAGATTTCCACTGTGAAACTCTAATGAATCATTTACACTACACAAACCCTCTCAAATGGCCATTTAAATGGCCAACCTATAAGCAAGGGATTTCAACCAATCTACACAAATATCTAAGCATAGTGGCCTGTTCCTGAATTACATTTCAGCTCATACACAGCAGGATAGAGAGAGCTACAACATAAAGAATACGCCCATGAGAGATCTTTACCCTGCATTTCTTTCCTAATGGTGAAGACCTACACACATTTCTTTGAAAAACAGTGCAACTTACTTGGAACTGGGCCACTAGAGAAAGTAAGTAATTTTGGCAAAGGCTCTCCCCCCTTTATTATGAAAAGATCCACAGTCATGTTCTCCTCAGCCCAAGAATATCTGCCTCAACTCAAAAGATTTCCTTCAATGTAAGTCATATATTCCCTGAACTGGAAGCTCTGCCAAGTCAGCCTCAATTTTTGAAGCTGCAACCTTGAACAAAAAACAAATGCAATGTTTCACCATGTGAAGAGATTACACGGTATGGTCTGTTTGTACCTATCAGGTACCAAGCATGTATCAGATCTTAAAACAGTCTTAGTGGGTTTGGATGAACTTTACTGACCACTTCCTGATACCTTCCAGTTACCAGTTCTGTAATCACCCTACTGTTAATGGTTCAGCTCCAAATCCAGAATAACTTAAGAGTTACTGTGCTATGCCACATTTATGGAGTTGTAGATCACCTTCAATGCTGCAAACTCCACCCCCTAACAAAAGGCAATAAAGGGTTCATCCTAAAAATCTTCAACCAAAGCTCAGTAAAATAATTTAGGTGCTCAGCTGCAAGGTTATGAAAAATGAATCCAAATTGCCAGAAGTGGACTTGAAAAATACAAAGTATAATGGAATATATTACCCTAAGTACTCTGTCACTGAGCAAAAAAACCTGACATAAAAGCCAGCAAGGAAAGCAATACACCCTGTGATAACATGAAGGCTAGGGTGAAGGGCAACAGTAGACAACAGTACCAACCCAGTTTGGTATTGCAAAACAAAACTTAAGGATAAGAGGCCTCTTATACCACTGCCAGACCTAAACTGTTTGCTTAATATTTTTGTCTACATTTGAAATCATTAAGTGTGAACTGAACAGGAAAAAGTCTTTCAAATCCAGAGCAAAAGTCAAGGCTGACTAACTGCTTGCTGTTTATCTGTAAAATTCCAAGACAAAATTAAAACCTTTAGGAAGATAAGTCAAGCTATATAGAGCCATAAAAGCTCAATCATGAAATAAATGTGCATAGAACATATTATATTCTCTCAACATGCTAAGAAACCACAATTAAAACCAGATGAGTGAAAGAATATGAATACTGCTTACAGAACCGTAGAAAATCAGAAATGCAAGATAGCAGCATTAACTGCTTTAATTAAATGCAAGCTGCTAAATGAGAGCAGGCTTCCCAGAGTAGCACTTTCCTCACGAAAGTTTGAATCTAGTGACAAGATATTCCCAAATTTAAAGTGGCAAACTGAAAGAAGTATGCAAGAAACTATATACCCACTATATGCTAAAGTGTAGCAATACTACATCTTTCCATATGGTCAAAATGAAGGTGAGGTGGTGTCTTGTGATTCCCTACTCACACTTGTTCATGAGTCACATAAGATGTCCAAGTATCAAAACTTGTATTTGAAATTTAATAAGAGACTAAACACTGTAATCCAGGAGACTGTGGGAGGGAGAGGTAAACACAAAGAAACATGAGAGAACAATAAATCAAGTACTTCTCTTGTTCATGTCACTTTTAAGGCCATATTAATTCTAGAGTAACAAGACAGTCTTATCAAAAGGACATGAGCTAAACTGATACCCAAATCTGGATATCAATTTATGTACCCAATTCCTTGTTCCTGTGTAATATAAAAATCTCATTTTACCCTTCAGTGACACCAAGAGATGAACCAGTATTTTTGTTCAAAAACTAGAGGACAGGCAGGGAGACAGGAGGGAGATAGAACTAGGAGGGAAAGAGGGGAAAAGTCAACCACAGTAGTAGAAAACAGGAATGATATTAGTCATCAAACGCTTCAGGAAAAAAGTTCCACAAAAATATTTCTGTAAAAATTTCCATTTTCTTTAGTAGATAGAATCCTATCTAGCTAGAAATCCTAGCTGGAGCCACAGTATACTGAACCTTAAATATCTATACTGCTTTAAAACTACCAAAAGTGAAGGGAACAGACTCCTTAGCACAATCATAAATTTGAGGGGAGTTCTAAAGGGGCCTAAGTGCAATTACAAAGCACACCTTCTCTGTTACCTAATAAAGTGGAAGTTTTTCTGTTGTGCTTGTAAAGGAGAAGTCCTACATTCATCACTTCTCATTTCTGATCATGTAAACCCAGCAGTGTAAGTTAAAAGGCAAAAGGCTGAACAAGTCTTGTTTTCACAGCTTTTTCCTCTTGGAAATGGCAGCTTCAATGCAAGCAACCCCCAAACTTCTACACTGGGAATTTTGAATTATTTCACGGAAAGAATGTGAGAGTTTTAGGAACAACCATGTGAAAATTTTAGTCTTCAGAAAAAAGAGATGACACTGGATAAATAGTTATCCATCTCAGGCATAAACTCAGTAATGCTTGTGAGAATATAGATGAAAATAGCAGAGATTTGGTATGAGTAGTTACAGAATTCTTCCTCTTCAAGTTTTCAAAAACAACAGACAATACAAGATTTTGATTCTTAGATTTATTTTTAGCAGGATGTGTTTACTAATGGATGGTGACATCATTAGAAGATAGGTCCATGTCCACCACCTGCAACAGAAGCTAGACAGATGTTAAAGAAAACAATTTAAGAGTTAAAGATGACACTACTTACCCCAAACACACTTAGGAAAGTCACCTACCAAGCAGTACAGCTAGCTTTTGATGCAGACATAACATTATTTACTTGTTATCAAAATTTCCTGCCAAGTTTTAGCACATACATTACCTTGATTTTGATGGGAATCACACAGTTCTGTTTCAGAAATAACTATTAGATAGACTCTTATTCTTAAAAAATTAAGAAAGATGGAAAGATTGGTTATGCAAAATTACTTACCTGTAAATTATCTTTAGAAGATAAAAGATCTGCAAATTTAGGTCTAAAGCTTCTATCTAATGCTGAAAGCTACTGACAATTCCTTGGGAATTCCAATTCAAATAGTTAAACAAGGTTAACAGCAGGTAACATTTCTAGATTCAACTAAGAATACATCCACTTGTTCCTCACTATACCTGTTTGGTATGGTAAGGAATCAGTAAGGTAGGATCTCAGCATTATACTCACAGATTGGTGATAGTAATTCAGGAAGAAATAAAGACTTTCTATTACAACCCAGGGATCATGTTTTACTTGGGGAAGTATCAATAGCCAGAAGTCTAACACAAGAAACAAGCTTGTTTGAACAAATTAATTTCACCAAAAATCAAACTTGAACAGCAAATCCTAGGGACAGACAGTTCAGGGAAATACATGCTCAAAGAATTACACGAAAGGCCCTCTCCCAGTTCTATTTCAAATGAGAAGCCAAGAAGCAAGGTTCAATTTGAGCCATGGAATTTCCCAAATCTGTAAGAACAGGGACTCCTTGCTTCATCTCCATTTCTTAATCACCAAAATAAATCCTACATCTGCTAAGTCAGCAAGCCCTACACACAATATCACTAAGACATCCTAATCTTACATTTCAAAACTTCAGAATGTTTATCAGCCTCTACTTCCCAAACTAAAAAGCACTACTGATAGTGAGCATGAAGTCACTTTACTCATCACTAGTTTAGAAACTCCATTTTAAGGTTCTTGTTTTTTTTAATCTCTTGGCTCAAAGGTCTTTATTAGTAACTGGGTTAACACCATCCTGACTCGTAGTTCTGTATTAGGAAATCATATTTATGCCACACTAATCAGCCTAAAAACATTCTTACAGTGTAATTCAACACCCTAGAACTTCACCAGTTTAAAACAAGCTGCTACAGACACTGAGACTGTCTCCTACTTTTTAAAGAAATACCTCAAATTAGTCCAAAAATGAAACTCTGCTATATTAGAATTAAATTCTTTAGCAGTCTAAATAATTCAGCCAAGAAACCATGTGAAGGACCATAACAGCCCAGTAATATGCAATTGCTTTCTCTCAGAATTATGAATTCTCTGATCTAGAAATATTGGGAAATTACACTGGTTTGTATTTGTTGAAAACAACCAACAAGGGTGGAATCTGTTCACAGCTGTGCTACTATTTCTAATTTCTTTTCAACTGAGCTCTCTTGTTTTACAGAAGGGTAAATCTGTCTGAAGGACCAGGTCACTGCCTTTTGAGCAACTCACTATCCTGGCAGTCTACCATACCTACACAGGATGTAACTGCTGGTAATGAGCTACATAAACAAGTCAGTGCCTCTAGACAACCAGTCCTTCAATGAAATTACAGGAACTTGTCCTTCAAACCCATTACACAGGCAGGGGGAAGGTAGGGCATGTGATGAAAAGCTTAAGGCTTCCTGTTCTTTAATCTTCCAGGTTCCATTATGCAGTTGGATCGGTTGCTACTGAAATCAGCACTACTGTGCATGCCATCTATCTTACATGAAGCTGGTTGATATTCTTCCCACAGGATAAACACAGTAAGGTTGAAAGGAAGAACCTTCATCAATTGATTTTCTGTGAGGCATAGAGGAAAGGAAGTAAGTCAGGAAATAAGAGTAGGCTAGGAATGACACAACTGATCTGAATGATGACTTCAAATACATTACGAACAGCATTTTCCAGAAAAAAAAAAAAAACAAAATCTGAATCCAAGTTATGAAGCTAAAGGTAAAGAAACCACTAGGGAAAGAAAATGTTTTTCACAGGTATATACAATGAAACCTGAAGATTAATTAATGCTTGGACCATATATGCATATGCTGCAGTTACAGGGCATCATGACTGTTCAGGCATCTCCCTTTGCAGAATGATGCAGCTTCAATTCTATTATTGTAATAGCCAAGGTTAGCACTGGGAAGCCACTGACATGAAATTATGGACATATTCTAAATATGTGGCATTTTCCACAGAAGGCTTTACAGTAGTACATGGTAGGAAAGAAAAACAGGTGATTGGTAATAGCAAAGAAAAGAGTAACTTAAGGGATCATTTGCTAATAATGAGCTGCTCATCCTGCATCACTCTTTTATTATGATCTGTCTAGTCATGCTGGTGCTAGTGCTGATAACCAGCTGTGTTAGAGGCTGTAGAAGCGCTAGGTACATTTCCCTCTGTTTAATGGATGCTTGAGGCAGGTTAAAAACTTGTGCTGAAAGCTGGAATTAAATTCTTATCCTTTAGCAAATACATAACTAAGACTTACAACAATGAATGAAAAGAGCATGGAAAGAAAATGACACTATGAAGAATTAAGTTCATAGCACCAGGGATAAGACTTTCTATCTGCACTACTAAAACTAAGTTTGTAGGTATAACCAAGACTGAAAAGCAGAAAGAGCTGGTTTAGTAGGTTTAGAACACTAGAATCAAACAATGGGTTACTAATGTGCTGGAAGCAAAGACATAACAGTGGCAAAAAAATATCTGTCTCTGGAGAGAAAAGTTTTTCAGGCTAACTAAAAACATTTGCAAGAACAAGCTTTAGTGAAGAAGAGACTAAAACAAAATATTACGCACTTCCAGCTTATGTTCTTTCTCTGCAAGGAACTCTTTTTGACATCGGAGAAAGTCTGATAACATTCGAGTTAGCTGTTTTCTATCATCTATTTCAGCTGCCAACCTGCCATTGTAATCCGCCAGCAACATACATGCATCATCTACCATTTTGGAAAGTTGCTCTCCAGATTCCTTATCTAAAAAGCAAGCAGAGAAAAACAGGTAAAGTGTGATTCCATTATGCACCATTACGTTCTTAGAAGAGCATTTTGGTTACCAGGCCCCCAACCCTCACCTGTTATTCTGTCTAACAGGGACACATCCTGGACCTCTATAGGCAAGGAAGCTATTCTCTGGTGAACTGCTGCATCCCCAGAGGCAGCATTTTCTAGTTCTTGTAATGCTCTAATGAGATCTGTGGTCTGAAAAAAGCATGCAAGATTGAGAACTAGTTTAAATAAACAGATCCTATAACAAAACAGAAGTGTTTTACAATAAGCTTATTGATTTGATGGTAATTTTAGCAGCATTTACAGTATCAACTTTAGAGTAAAACAAAACAAAACCAAACCTTTAATCTCAGCATATCATTGCAGTGTTTCTAGTTTTAAAGGTCACCTTTCTACAAGAGTTTTTCATTTAAATTCTTCATATAGGAATACTTATAAACCTTTTCTTCTTGACAGTAGTGATTATTTTACAGTACCTTTCATTTTATTATACATTTTTTAAAATTATTTTTCTTGTTGTTTTGCTTCACTATTGCAAAAGACTGTATCAGTGCACTTCTTCTGGAAGTAGGGCTGATGTTCACAGAAGCCCAGATATCTGCTACAGAGAAACATACTAAATTGTGTTGACTTGAGGACAGTCATTCTTTGCTATAACAAAAATCCTTTTGAGATAGGGCAATACTGCAACAAAACCCCACAAGAATTAGAAGAGCTGTAACACTGCAAGGTAAACAAGAATTCCTCACAGCCATCGTGAGTGAAACTTTGAGAAAAATTTTATCGATAAATCCATAACAATCTTATACTCTAATACATGCATTACTACTACCCTGAGAACTGAATGAGAACTCAATACATTGTAGAAACTACTGCTGAAATCCTGACATGAACAAAGCTGGACATAGAGCTCATACATCTGAGTTTACTGTCAAACACAAAGTTACAGCATGCCCCCACTGAAAAACTATTATAAATTTCAGGTGTAGCTACCCTTGCCCAGAAACAGTTCCTCACTGAAAAACAGAGACCATTGAAAAAAAAACAGAAACCAAAAAATTTTATATGAAACCATATGTAAGTAGAGAATTTTATAAACATGCTGTTACCTGAGGAGGATCAGTGGGAGAACTTCGAGGTGAACAGTTATTTTCATCAACTTTGATCTGTTCATATGTGCGCTTCCTCACCTTTCTGTCTCCATCTAAATGAAAACAAACACAACAGTCAGGGCAGTACTATTTCAAACAGGAGACAGAACCTTCATATACTCACAAAATACTTACACAAAGCTTGCCTAAGTTGTTCTAATACATCATTTTCATAAACAGACCTTTCTTCCCAGATAGACAGCACTCGGCCAAGGTGTTTCTTACAACTCTCATCAGACTCACTGTTACAAGGAAAAAAGCAAATATCAGTTCTAGGTAGAAGTATAGCCCTGCTTTATAATTATTTTTCACAGAAAGACTTTCACAGATCTTAGCAATATCCAATCATCAGAAGTCAAATAACCTCAGAAAATAACAAATCCCTATTTTAAAGAAAGCAAAGACCAGTTCAATGTGCTCTAACAAGCAGATAAAAAAAAAGGGCCTACACCAAACTCTTTTGTTTTTTCAACCTATAAATCTGCAAACACTACAAATAGGTTTATGTTGCTTCAACAGCTGTGTACCACTGTGAAGATAATCCTGTATCAAGACTCTAGCTTCCTCATGCAATGACATTAGAGGCTGCTGGGGAAAAAAAATCATGCAACACCCAGTAATGAAAAATGCCAAACTGTTGTAAAACATAAACACAGACAGTAAGCAAGTCTTAGTTTCTTCCTTCTTGGAAGGCTGCCTTCCAAGGCAAAAAGGGACTGAATGCTGATGAATTTACTATCAAACTTCATCCAGCTGTAATAAGACTATCCAAGATCACAAGAACACTGAATAAATGAAATTAACAAGATTTCAAGTACAGAAATAGCACATGAAGACTAGATGGGCCAGAAGACATCAACTGACCACTTCTCAAATGCAGTGTGAAGGGCACTGCACATACAAGTTTACTGTACCTTGAAACATGCTTAAAAGCCTCCACTATTACTGGAGCAAAGTCTTTTGTAAATTCTGGTCCTTTCCTTTTGCTGTTCTGTATGACATCATTGGCCAAGTACAGGAATGTCAGCTTCCTATTCGGTTTTGCTAATAAAAAGAAAAATTAAAAAGAATTAGAAATTTTATTTCCTTCAGCTAATACCTATATATCCAGGCTCATACTGAATACAAACACCCACTCCTCCACACCCTGAAATCAAGTGTTTTTTTCCTGTTTTCGTTACTGCTTACACCATTTCACATTTTCAGTATTTTCATGTGAAAGACTTTAGTCACTCACTGGGTTTTCTCTCCCTTCTGCTCTCTTTGTCATAGTATGACACAACTTCCATTTAGTGTTATCTCAAAAAACAAACAGAAAAAATCCCCAGATATTCCAAAGTGTTCTTCATCCCCAAACTCTTCTCAGGTGTTTTCCTGAGCCTTTTACGATTCCTGTTTGGCGGCCTTCATGGATTTCTTCAAAGTACTTCAGCTTCTTTCTAAGCCTGCTTAAATTTCTTACACTCATGAAGTCTTCTGATGAGGCACTTCACAGATCCACTATCATTCATGTGAAGAACCTCCTCTTTTTCAGTCTGAATTGCACTCAGTCTTACATAACCACTCCTCATTCTCACATTTAAGCAAACTGAACAGTCAATCCCCTCGTCAGTGTCCCTGTATCACTGTGATACTCCCCTTCCTCACCTCTGAATTCTTAAAACACTCATGTGCCAGCAGCTGTAATAGCACAAAAATGCTTTCAGAAACCACTTTCAAGCTCCTGCGGTGCATCTCTTCTCCCAGTACCTTAAACATCCTAACCCACGTCTCAATGTGCAATAGACTACAAGCTTCCAATTTACAAGCTGCTTCTCCAAATCTATTCCATGTTTTCTAAGTGCTCCTACCTGGGTATTTTCATTTATATTTCATCTAATTTTCATTACTCTACAAGTTTATTGGAGCTGAAAATCTTACTCTAACATTTCTACCCTTGGTTAACACCAGAATACCATTACCACCACATAATCTCAATATGTACACTCCGATTTTAAGAAGAGGTTTCTCTTGAAAGACAAGTTTTTCTGCTCTCTCAAGGAAAGCAGCACTGTGGTAATGACAATCCAGGATTTCTTATAATCTATGCAAGCAAATACAATTTGATTTTGTTATTTTCTACTCCATCCTCTCAAAAATGCGGAACTACCACCCTCACATATAAAGAGAAAATTCAATGTTAATATGCTTTCACTCTAGGGAAATGCTTTCGAGAATAAATTTTGCACTACAGAAAGACTCCTCTGAAGGATTTCTCCTTGAAGTACTGAATTCTTTTCAGTCTCTTGAACAGACATATCTAACAAGTTGGCAGTTCTGGACTGACTGGGGAAAAAAAACCCTCTGTTAAACATAAAAATGCACTTTGATTACAGTCAAGGTAAACTAAAGAGTAGGAAATAAACAAAACAAAAAAAAACAAACCAAAACAAAACAAAAACAAAACAAAAACAAAAAAAAAAGCTTGGAAGTGCTGGGCACAAGGTGAACTCAATAGAGTCTGCTCCAAACACTGAAGTCATCACATGCAAGCACACAGGAAATTGATCTATTTCAGTCAAAATCTGGCTAGTTTATAATGTAGATTTCATAAACTTGTGCTGCTCACTTTCCATATTAAAACCCGATGATAAAACAACACATCTCTTATGTTTCACATAAATCAGAGTTCTGACACCTAGCAAGTTTTGAATTATTCAAAGAGAGAATGTCAGAAAACACATGTTGTCTCATAGGCATAATCAAAAAGTAACTAAAGTCTACCAAAGATGGCCCTGCCCCCTCTCTCAGTTCTTAAATAAGCCCAGAATTAGGATTCAAAATCTAATGAAGCAGGCTGTTCCCCATCCTATATCCTCTGGAACTTCATGCAGGATAGGCCCTTATCCATTTCACCAGAAAAAAAAAAAAACCATCATTTTTTAATCCTCAATGATGTAACCCATTTGTGAGACACCCTAACTTTTTTCTTTCCAATAAACAGCCAAATAAATTGGGCTGGCAAAGACATGAGATGGATACACAGTGACATGAAGTCAGGTAATACTGACTCTCACAAAGCCTAGACACTATCTATTCACTGCAGTAAAAGATTGATGTACCATATTTGGTAAAAGCACCCTAAACCACAGAAAGTCACTTTCAGGCTTATTTCCCCAAGTATTACCTTTTCAGCTTCCTACTACAATTCAACATAAACAAAACTGTGCAGAATGAACAAAAATCCTAGACCCACTATTAAGCTATCTGTCTTTGGTTGAAAATTTTAGTGTTCTACCCTTATTATTCACAAGGAAAATTGTGAAGTAAAATTTAATTCTTCTTGCTGGAAGAATGTGCTGCACAAAATTCCAAAGGTAAAAGTTATGCATAGTCTTGAGAAGTGCTCCCTCTCCTTTCACAAATTTTCAAGACTTACATACTGGTCTACTGGCACTCTGCCTTACACATGAGACTGAAGGTAACCTCTGGCAACCTGAACTGAAAACATTCTATTGCTAGCATGCCTATAAATTGACTAGTGATGTCTGAAACACAAACTAAACTCAGAATCAAATAGATCTGTTTTGGAGAAAGAACTATGTTAGAGCATCTCTCTTCAGTAGCAGTGAAATTCACTCTCCAGCCTGGGGTATTGGTAAATCTCAGAACATCAAAATGGATCAAACAGACAATTCTGGAGGTCCTCAACACATGGCAAGGCTAATAGCAAAAGCATTCCTACTGTCAGAAGAAAATGAAAAGAGAAAACCTGTAAGAACCTAGGTTGAAGAAGGATCTGAAAGACACACACTGCAGAATGCACAGTGTTACAAATAGCCATCTCTGTACCAACAGTACCCTCTGCAAACACAAAACTGCCAAGAAATCATCCGTGTTGGATTGAGTCATCTTTTCAGAAGCTCTGTGCAGTGTTCACATAACTCCTCTGCTTGTTGCAGCTAAACTCACCATGTAGCCACCAAAGTAGCTCCCTGAAGCACTGGATTCTGAAGTATTTTAATACATCAACAGTGCTGGTTGGTGTAAGAGCCATATTATGCATAGTACTCTTAAAGCATCTTCAGTCAGAATACACGAGATTGGCACCTTGCAAATGAAACTATGTCTGTACCAAAAATGTATCTGACATGTTTAAATGCCAATGAATATTCTTCAGATAATAATGACATTTCACCAACAATTAGCATACTGAGATATCTGTAGTGGAGACAACATTATCAAGTCTTAGTTTTTGGCAATTCATTCTTCTCAGTAATGCATTTTGTTAGTCCATTAGGTATGCCTGGCTCTCTAGCAGCTCAGTATTGATGCCTGACATTATTTGCTTTAATCCATAAGACTTAGAGAATTCTTAACACTGACAAGCCACCACTTTAGTGCAAGTAACCAGCATTTTACCCTGAAAGGCAGTAAATAGCTGTTTTCACCAAGATCAGCCCTGACAATCAAAGTCAGCACAATCACCTGTCTTCTCCAGGTTTACCTCCTGCATTTGAAATTGAGCTCCCATCAAGATAGCTAGAAACATGCCCATTAGTTTCATGCTGTTTTACACCTAGAGCCAAAACATATTTGCTGTTGTAGATATACTAGAAGAAACTACAGAAAAGCACACAAGCATAAGAGATTTCACTTACATCCCACTACAAAGTGTATAGACTGACTGAGCATCTGAAAATGTTACATCAGGCTGTGGCTTTCTGCAGGCCAGCTCGGCTGTGTCAACTGACCTTGAAGGAAAATACCACTTAACAGAAGGGTTTGAAACAGTAAGCATCAGTATGTTAGAATCTCACAAAAGTTATCAGCCCTAAACATTTCATTAGCATACTCAAGTTCTCTAGTATGGATTCAAATAAAGACTTTGCTAAATTGCTTTTGAATTAGTCTGTACACATGCACAAGAGTTTATGAGTGCCACCACTCCTCCCAAAATCTCTGGGACACTTTCTCACAGCATGCTTCACCCCTTTGCAAGAGGAGCTCATGACATCTCTGTAAATACCTGACAAGTTTTCAGGCTTTTTATTACAAGACCAAACATTGTTAAGTCAAGCAGCACTGAAACTTGAGTACAAGATCACTGATCCTTCACACTGTGGAGAGCTAACCTGGGTTTTTATGCAAGCTGATTAAGCAGAGCATCTTTGGTAATATGACTCTAAAAAGCCTCTAAAAAGCCTCTTGAGAGGCTGCCACCAGAAAAGACAGTTTAAAGACAACATAATCCACAAAAGGCACATTGTACAACAAGCCCTTAACCTTAAAATTCATTAACCTTCTACTAAGAAAAGGTTAAACTAAGCATTCCACCTTGTGCAGTCACCTGGTGAATTAAATTTACCAAGGTTTGATAATTGCCATGTTTTCTCTTCAAAGAGGGAAATGGGATTGCCCATTGAATGTGTTCAAGGTTTGAGGGTCCAAGTATTTTGACTGGGTTTGGAGACTAGTAACAAAGGGAACACAACACAGACACTGCTGGGAATACGGCCACTAGCATCAAATTACCACAGGAATGCCAGAAAGCTGGTCACAGACCAAGGAAACCATTCCAACATAATTACACTGCAGAGGCTTCCCACTGCACTTAGTGCATCCTGAACTACCTGAACATATGAAACAAACCAACTCCTTTCATTGCCTTACCTGGCTGGTAAAATGCCAAGATGGATATGAATCAACTGCAACAACAGCTTCAGGATGATAAAAACACCCTACACTTAAGTTTTCAGAAACAGAATGGTAAAAGACACGCAGGTTTGACACTACACAACCCAAATATAATTGTTTTAAATAAAAGGCTCTTATATTGCCACTCTGCTGCTCCTAACTGCAGATCATTTTGTAAATCATGTACACAGCAAATAAGTTTCCCTAACTAGGCTCCACAACACCCATTCATCTGAAGTTTTGCCTTTTTGTTGCCCTCCAAACCTTTTGGTGTGGATGAGAAGATTGATGTGGGCATAACCAGTGAAATCCAAAAGCCATAGCTTTGCTTCTTTTAAATAAAAGAAACCAAAATTATTTATTCTCTCACATTGGAAAATGGCACTATACCACCACTAAGTAAAACAATCTTACAATCACCAGAAAGAAAAGATTCCTTCTCCTGGCAGAAAAAACTACTCTACATGGTACAGAAAATAATTGCTTTAATCCAGGAACTTGTTTCCTGTGATCCACTTCCCATCTCCAAGTCAATATATCGCAACCACTTTTGGCTGTAATTGTGCTCCAAGCTAGCTAAGTATTAGAGTAGTTCAGATGTAGTACAACTTTCAAATCTAATGCTTAAAGTGTTGCTAGGCCTTCTCAATTTACTTACTAAAATCCTCTATCTTCCAAATTTCAGCAGCTGCCACAACAGCCAGTACCTTCAGAAAAACATATTTCATCAATGCAACAGCTATACTGGATGAGGACCCAAGCAGCAGCATATGTCCCAGTAGAAGAAGCTGCAGACAAACCATAAATAAGCAAAAAAGATGTAGCTTCTTACACCACTGAAAGATTTCAACACCAGGAAAAAAAAAACCAAAGAAAAAACGTAATAAACTGGAACAGCAGGTGAGCTGGAAGAGTCAAGCACTAGAAATACATCTCCCTGTAGCAGCCCAGATGTACCTACACAACTGTGGCTCTCCTAAAGGCAATACACAATGGGTCTACTGACCTAGATAAGCTGTGCAGGGGAGAGAGTGATCAGTGTGACACGGGTGGGGTGACAGATAACAGCCTAAACAAGAGGTCAAGCGATTAAGGAGGATGGGGGATGATCATCAGTTTCTGTTACTGACTTATCATTGAGATGCTGTGTGGGCCCTGAAGAAACAGATACTCGAATCTGAAATTAGGTTTAAAGATAATACAACAGTGTCCTGCGAAGAACCAAGACTTGGACATGATGATCCTGTGGGTCCCTTCCAACTCAGAATATTCTGTGCTTACTAAAATATCACTACAAAATAAATACTTAACAAGTGACAGAACTGAACCTGGAAAAGGTAAAAGAAAATGAGATGACAGGAAAAGATTCATATGGACAACTAATTGGAACTCAAAATTAGTCCCCTATTACAAACCTTTAGCAATTTTGGGGTTTCTCCTTTAAAAAGAGCACATTTTAACCAAGTACAGCAAACTGCATATGAAGCCTACTGAACAGGCAGTTACTGTTCACCCTTGAAGGCAGATCCTTTGAATTACAGAACTGAAATTTTTAATTTCAAAAAATGAACTAACACGTAGCAAATCTCTACAGCTGCAGAGCCTCCTGAAAGCAGGGAGCAAAAGATGTATGCAAGAGAACATACCTGACTTGCAAACAACAAAAAATAATTCTCAAGAGACTCCATCTCAGAAGAGCCTACTCAAAGGTGTTTCTTCCTAAGGGGTTTCCCATCAGCCATTCAGTGACTGCAGGCTTACACAACAAATTTGTATATTATGCCACTACTCAGTTTAAAAAGAAACCCTGTAAGTCATTCCCTTTATGGATACACAAAACTACACAGGGTTAAATGGGCCCACCAGTTGCCTCTTTAAAATGACTGAGGTAATCACAAGTTAATTAATTAGTACTACTTAAATACTGAATAAGCTTATGACTCCCAAGTACTTAACTATTTAACTTTGAGAATTACATTTCATACCTCTGAAATCTAGCTGAAGCAGGATCATTTCCCTCTGTACACGCTTTTCAAGAAAACCTGCACACAAAGGCATATTGATGATCCATAGGGATGCCAGAGTATGGGACCTGACCACCGCCAATTAATCCAAATAAACAGAAAGTCACTAACATTTTATGCTGTCTAAATTATAGGCAGATTTGAAAAGCTATCTTTTCACCTCTAGTCCAATGTGGCATAAAGAAAAAGATTACTTGAAATATAGAAGAATCAGAACCAAACATTCAGGAAAGAAAGAGCTCTGATCTTAGGACTTTATGAATAGCTAGAGACATGTTCAGAAAGGCTCATGAAAGCTCATCGATGCAAATGATCTTTTACCAAAACTAAAAGCATCCAGAAAAAAACAATGTCATTGTACTGTGTTCAACCCAACTAGTTATACAACGTTCCTGAAAAGCAGTAGGCTGGAAGGAAGGTCTGGAGAGGGGGGTGACAATAAAAAGGGGATACAATGAAAGGAAATAAAATCTAGAAAGGCAAGGTTCAAGGTTCCAGGACACTACTGGCTAGCAGTAACAGCTGACAACATCAATAATTTTGATATCCATATTCCCCAAATAGAGGTAATTTTCCTCTCAGTTGGAAGAGAAATCCTGTTTCTGTGGTTTGAATGACAGGCAAGTCAGGAGCCTTAAACTTACTCTAGTTATGGCCTCATTGCCAATATCCTACTTTGTGGTGTTTTATGCACTCACTTCACCACAGGACAGTTGTTTTCCTCTCGTCCTTCCCATGCTGTCTGCTTAGATGACTACTTCCACCTTTGGGGATTAGGCACCATCTTACAAATCTGTGCAGCAATTAGCCAGAAGTTAGTATCAGGTAAATGCAAGCTAGCATTTATGAAGCTCAGATATTATAAGAGATAGGAAACTAAAATATGTCCTGTGTATATTAACTATGGCAGCTTTAAATGAAGCTTCCTATCTTCCAAAACGAAACACTTCACATAGGCCTAAAAGCCCAGAAGGGTCAGGACCCTGAAAGCAGCTAAGCTACTCCTAGCACAGGCAGAGTTTCACATATGCCTTCCACAGACCCCTGAAGGTTGGCATCTGAAGAGAGGTCACAACAAAATCTTACTTTGAAGCAGCAAAAGCAGGACAACAACTTCAATAAACAAAACAAACCCAATTATGGCAGTTATTCTCACCTAAAGCTCAAAAGAAGGTTGTTATCCTTGCCTCTCAATACCCAGGTTTCAAAGATTTCATTTCTCCAGTTAGTCAACCAGCACAAGAGGAAAGTTAAAGTTAAGGACTGCCTATTAATATCACAGATTACTATGAACTAATATTGTGCATGATAATTAAGGTGAGCAACCAAAACTCTGTGTCTATTTAAATTAGTTTAAGATACCTTCCTGGTATCATTCAAAACCCCAACAGTCATGTTAATGGGCCCACCACATTTCACATTTCTGGGCTTGATTAGAAGGCCCAGAAATGTGAAATGTTTCAGACACAGATGGGAGATCCGTTCATTTGCTCCTGGATCAAAAAAAAGCAAGCCTGCAACTAACACAATGAAAATTGTTTATGCCCTAAGATGGAATAATGCCACCAAGTCAGTCTTGCTTCAGTCAATACAAAAAAGAATTTAACTCTTGCCTCAAAGTTCAAAAGATAACAAATCCCAGAAAAAGAGTATTTTAATAAAACCACAGTAGCCATATTACATGAAACTCAGTGTTTCCTTCCTCTTTCATAAGTCCTGTAATGGGTTAGTACTGTTTTTCTGCTTAGTCTAAAAGATTGAGACTTCTATTTTTCCCATTGAAGATCCACATATTAGTGAGGCTCCAAAGGAAGCTACTACAAAACAGCATCATTTTGTAGATCGAAGAAGAGTTCCAGTAAGTGGGTTTTTTCTTAAATGAACCAACTTAAGACCAAGTTATTATCCAGTCAGGTCAAATAAACCCTCATATGCCATTTCTCCCTGAACCACAGTCTATAGCTGCAAGTTCTTTCCTGTTAAATGGAAAGCCACATTAGCATTTAAGTCTGCACGCTAATCACAGCTAAAGAAACTTACGTTTTTATTATGTTAACATTTTTATTAACCATCTGGCAAAACCAGGAAGTAAAAACCACTCTGGATACATTACACTGCTTTTCCCTCAGTGTATTCCCATCCTCATCTGCCCTACAAGAACAGTTTCTGGAAAGGAAACCTGAGTAGACATGGAATTCAAATAGTATTACAGCTAACCATCACAACAGACGATGACAAGTAATATGCAAAAAGGCTCCGTCTTGAAAGAGCTGTAATTAATAATGACAACAAAAAGCCCTAAAACCCTGGCTCGCCGGATTCCTTCCGGTTCCCCACTTTCCTTTCTCCTTAAAAAACGGGAGATAAAACACAAGGGGCAGCGTCCTCAGAGACATCTCTTTATGGAGTGACGGGAAAATGGGAAGGAAAAAAAAGGAGCGAGAGAAGTAGAAGGAAAAAAAGGGAGAAGAAGCACCTGCCAGCCCACGGTCACCGAGGAACGGAGACCCGACGTTTCACGCTGGCCCCAACAGTTCCGCTCTCCCCAGGCGCTCAGGCCTATCCTCGCTCTCTCCCCGCCCGCTTCCCCGGCCCCGCAGGCCGCGCAGCCCCGCCGGACCCTCCCTCTCCCCGCACTCCGAAACGGGGGCCACCGCCTCCGCCTCCCGCCCGGCCCCGCCGCCCCGGGGCGCCTCCGGCGGGCCCTGCCCGGCCCCCCGCTCACCTTTGCGCAGCTCCCGCTCCCACACGCTAACGATGAGCGCCGAGTGCTTGCGGTGGTGGATGAGCCACAGGCTCAGGGTCTGCACGCTCTGCTGCGAGTTGCTCAGCTCCGACAGCTTCCGCTCCAGCGCCGCCTCCGAGAACGCCGACATCGCTGCACCGCGTTGGGCCCCGCCGCTCCGTCCCGTCCCGGCCGGGCCGCGCTCAGTCCCCGCCTCTCGGCCCCGACGAGGGAGGAGCCGACGGACGATTCCCAGCCCTTCCCACCCCGGCGGCAGCGCCCGGCGCCAACAAAATGGCGGCGGCCGAGGCCCGTGGGGAGCCGCGCAGCCCCGCCCCCTCCCTGCCTGCCCTCACTTCCGGCCGAGCGCGAGCTCGCGCTGGGGCGGGGCTGTGCGGGAACGGGATCCCTCAGGAGCGGGGTCAGTCTATCAGCGTCCTGCTCTGGAAAATAACATAAAAACGCAAATGTAAATTTGCCTCCAGAAGGCAAACTAGGCCTAACGGTTTCCTTCACCCAGCAGGTTAAGAATAACAGAATCGTTATGGTTGGAAGGGAGCTCTGGAGATCATCCAGTCCAACCCCGTGCCAAGGCATGGTCACCTGGAGAAGTTAGACAGGAATGTGTCCAGAAAGGGAGACTCTATAATCTCTCTGGGCAGCCTGTTCCAGTGCTCTGCCACCCTCACCATAAAGCAGTTCTTCCTCAGGTTGGAGTGGATCTTGCGTTTTATTTTATGGTCATTACTCCTTGTCCTGTCACTAGGTAACACCAAAAAGAACTTGAGACCATCCTCTTGGTACCTGCTTTTGAGATACTTGTGTGTATTGATGAGATCCCCTCTCACTCTTCCCTTGTCCAGACCAAACATCCCCAGCTGCCTCAGTTTCTTTTCATAAGAGAGATGCTCCAGACCCCAAATCATCTTTGTGGCTTCCACTGGACCATCTCCAGCTCCTCATCTTCCTTGTGCTGAGGAGCCCAGAACTGGACACAGCACTCCAGATGTGGCCTCACCAGAGCCAACTAGAGGGCCGGGATCCCCTCCCTCCACCTGCTGGCAGTGCTCTTCCCAATGCATGACAGAATCCCTCTGGTGCCGGCTCATGGTCAACCTATCACCCACCAAGACTCCCAGGGCCTTCCCAACACAGCTGCTCTCCAGTGCTGGTACTTGGGGTTCTTCTTCCCCAGGCACTTCCTTACCATACACTTGGGTATATGGTATTTCACATCTGCAGGTAGACACATACTCCACAAAGGTGTCTGGCCTTTCTAAAAGCTGTCTTTTTTATTTTTGATTTCTGACATTACCAGTATCATGTGACAGAATTCTACTGTTCACTGACAAGATTGTGTGCAAAAATGCTTCGTCTTCGTTTTTGCTCCATAAAGCTTCATTGCATTCTTGCTACTTCTGCTACTTTGGAAATAGTGAATAAAATTTACTGTCTGCTTACCTTTATATTCTTTTCTATATTTTTTTTATGTCATCTTCAGTCATTTTTCAAGGATTCTCTGAACAGGGAAGGTACTCTGTGCTACTTAACATGAGTAGCATTCCTGATCTTGATGTGAGCATTTCTAGCCTTCCCTGCTGTCCATCTGAAAAACACTTGACATAATTTCTTACTTTAAACATTGCCAAGTGGCTGACAATTTGAGAGAGCTATCTGCCTTAACTCCTAAGGTCTATCCTGAATCCTGTTTCTGTAGCTAATAATCATGACTGCAGTTGTCAATATTTTTCTATAAAATTGCATGTGTATTAATTAGAAAAATATGCATATGCCTTACTCTTAGGACATCCTGACAATGGCTAACTATCCATCCTTAAAATGGAACATTCCTATGACCTTTTATACACCCAGTTTGTCCTCATCAAACAGTAGAACACTAGTTATGAACAAAAATATTTGTGGAATATTTTAAAGAATCAGAGAGTGGGTCAGGTTGGAAGGGACCATAGTGGATCATCTGGTCCAACCTCCGTGCTCAAGCAGGGTTATCCCTGAAACATGACACAGCATTGTGTCTGGACAGTTCTTGAGTATCTCTGGTGAGGAAGACTCCACACCCTCTCTGGGCACTCTGTTCCAGTGCTCAGTCACCTGCACAGTAAAGTTCTTCCTCATATCCAGGTGTAACTTTCTGGGCATCAGTTTCTGCCTGTTTGCTCTTATCCTGTTGCTCAGCAGCACTGAACAGAGCCTGAATCTGCCTTTTTGGCACCCTCCCTTTGGATACCTACAGATATTGATGAGATCCCCTCTCAGTTGTCTCTTCTCAAGGCTGAACGGGCCAAGTTCTCTCTGCCTTTCCTCAGAAGAGAGATTTTCCTTAATCCTTAGTCCCTTAATCACCTTTGTTGTCCTCTGCTGGACCTGCTCCAGGAGCTCCGTGTCTCTCTGGTACTGAGGAGCCCAGAACTGGAAACAGCGCTCCAGATGTGGCCTCACCAGGGCCGAGTAGAGGGGCAGAGTCACCTCCCTTGACCTGCTGGCAATGCTCTTCCTATTGCACCCCAGGACACCATTGGCCTCTTGGCTACAAGAGCACTGCTGGCTCATGGACAGCTTGTTGTCCACCAGGACCCTCAGGTCCTTCTCCACAGAGCTGCTTTCCAGCAGCTCAGCCCTCAGCCTGTCCTGGTCCCTGAGGCTATTCCTCCCCAGGTATTAAATATTAGACCCCGAATATTTCGGGGTGTGTCCTGCCTGGCTTCATCTGGCCTCACTGTGGACCAAAGGCTTCAGCTGTGGTGTTTCCATCGCAGAGATACCTTTGGCCAGCTGGATGCTGCAGCTGGGCACTTGGAACAAATCCAGGCAAAGTAGGAACTCAGTTTACCTCTGGTGGAAAAGATTGAAGCGGCAGTGAAGAGAAAAGAAGCGGGTTCTGTCGTAGAGTCTTAATCCAGAGTCTGATTTCAGCATGGTAGACCTCTGAATGTGGTAACAGCTCCCAGACAGACACCTGGCTACATGGTCTCATGTCCTTTTAAGCCCCGGGGACAGGGGGAGGGGAGGGACAGGTGAGGGCCAACCAGGTGTGAGGAGGGGAAGGCTCAAGGGAGATAGATGCTAGGACAGGCCAATGAACCCAGACCTGAGGAGCATCTGCCAACCACACAATGCCCTGCTGGAATGTTAAGATTGATGGACAGCTCTTAGGCAGGAGGGCAAAAGGGGGAGGGGGAAAGGTTAGCACACCTGAGGGGGTTGGGATAGGTGAAACAGGAAACCACTGCAACACCCAGGTGCAGAACCCTGCATTTGCCTTTGTTGAATTTCAGAATGTTCCTCTCTGCCTATCTCTCCTGTTGAGATCCTTCTGAAGAGCTGCACAGCGCTCTGGGGAATTGGCCACTCATTACAGCTTTTTTTTTTTTTTTTTTTTAATTCCTATCCCTATTTCATATCAGACATTCAGGGAAGGTGTCCCAGTGGATTGGTTTTGGGCAATTTTCCTAATATTTGTTCTCAGTGAAATCTTCGCTTTAAACAAAAAACTTTGGTGAGGGTGAGATGGGAATGTTAGGAGGTTTTCATGTGAATTCTATTTACAAAATCATCCATAGAATGAGTGATTTGGGGGGAACTAGAAAGGATTTTTCAAAAATGCTTTTGACAGAGAAATTGAAATAAGTTGCACAGATCCGTACAGAATTTCTTATTCACTGCCTTTTGATCACCATGAATGAAAGAATCTGTAACATACTGCTATTTTTGCTATGTACAGCAGAGGACACTCTGGCATTAAATTGAACTGACCAGTGAAGTAAAATTAAGACAGAGCTAGAGAGCAAACATGGATGCATCCATTAGAAAACTGAAATATGAATGGTAATCTAGTAACCAACACCCAAATAGCATTTCTTGGAGTCATATGTATTCTGATGTTAGCAGGAGAAACTTTTGAGCAACTATAGAAAAAGAACTATTTCTTTCACACCTAAGACTAGAAAGTTTGCAGCAACAAACAGTAAAATTTATATGGTAAATCAAATAAGAAAAATGAAGAAAAGAAGGAAATTGGTAGAGAATTTTAATAATGTTTGTAAAAATGTTTATTACTCCTTCCTCTGAATCTTCCCAGATTATCAGAACATTTTACAAAAAAAAAAAACTAAAAAACTCCTCTGAGATTGGTATTTTTTTGAAATAAATATATTTGAATACTGGAAGATTTACCTTCTGTGTTATATATACTGTATAATAAACTACACTGCAAAATAGAGATTTCACTTTTCCCATAAAATTTTGTAATGCATTTTAAAATTGTAATAATAAGTATTTACATCGGTAAGCTAATTTAAAAGCTATGCTTTATCCAATCAGTGAACAGAAATCGGCCATGAGGCTTCCTCAAAGCAAAGTGACTCTCCGACAGGAAGCAAGCACAATGGAAGGTTCATTTGTTGCAGAGCTTGGAAAACCTCAGCTTTCATTCAGAAACAAGTCCTACATTATTCACCTGCCTTTAAAATTTCACCCAGACCCACAGGGGCGGAGCTGTCAACAGATGTCAAGTTTTCTCCCGCCCATTCCTGTGTTCAGACTGCAATAGCATCTTCCCCCTGAATTCCTAAGAACAAAGTTCTGTACTGCTTCCCCTCTGTCAGGATAGTCCGCTGTGTTCTCCCGCTCTGGGAGAGAGGAGCCACGTACAAGCGTAAGACAATAACTGTGAATAAATTACTCGTTGGATGTTTTTGTAGATCATGGTACTGCGACGCTCTAGTTAGGAGACGTAATTATAGCCACCAAGAGGTCGTACAGCACTCTTACTTTATATACAGGTTGCAGGCTTTTGTTTCTTATCCTTAGTATTATTCCATGCTTCACCGGAGTTTTTTAGGAACCCTTATTTTACACTACTACACAGAGCAGTAAAACAATCTGTGTATGTAATGGTTTCCTAAACATTGCTCATCAGCTATGTGGGACTTGAGTTAAAACCAGCTCTTGCACCAGAAAAGATCAGATCTTTCTCTGTATGAGCCTGGCATTTTCTCATTTTAAACTTTGTTTTGTATCTCTTTCTCAAATAGTCTCACCCAGGAGATGCAATAATATTAAAGGAAAAATGAGATTTCTCTAGTTGTATTTCCTGTCTGAGAATTTATATTAGTCAGCACACCAATCACTACCTGGATCTCAAAAATATACCACTGGCAGAGCAGTTCTTTTTTAATCTTCCAAGTGTCTGGTCCATCAAATATAACCATTTCTGAAGTTTCATATTTAAAAATATTTTTCCATC